AGGGACCTCCTCAACCAATAAATAATAAAAAAAAAAAAGAACATCAATTAAAAGTCTAAAATTGAAGTAGTGTTGTTTGGACACTCCCTTCTATCAAGCCGTCCAGTCTTGTATATAAATCATCATTATTACTTATTGTATAGTTTATACAGATTGTATATAATATTTTATTTAATAAAAAAAAAAAAAAAAAAAAAAAAAACGTAATTCACAAGTTTGTTATTAAATATAGATTTTTTTAATTAAGTACTGATTGTTTATCAAATTTAGATTGTTTATTGATTTTTTATCAAATATAGTTTTTTTTATTAAATACTTAATTTTTTTAAATATAAATTGTTTTATCAAGTTAAGATTGTATAACATTTTTTTAACATTTATAGTTTTTTTTTATTAAATATAGATTTTTTTATCAAATATACATGTATTTAATATTTTTGTTTTTTAAATTTTCATCACAATTTATGGCGATCCACTTAAAAAGTGGGGTTCCAACAAGCAATTTACTTAGTGATTTAGTAGTAGCCAGTAGATATAGGCTGATGACCATCTTCGCTCAGAATGGTTTTTAGTATTCAACAGTTTATCATTCAAATTACATATTTTCTCAGTGTTCTGTATCTAATAAATGTATTCAAAGTGTTATTTTGATTTCACTAATATAATCTATACACATTTTAGGAGATCCTGAACCTGCAATTATCCAATCAGGTAACTCAATAAGCCTCTTAAAATCTCGGAAAATATCTGCTAATAGGAAACACGAAGATACCCTATCATATTTAAGCTTAATGAAAAAAGAAGATTACTTCATGGATGTTATTTATAATAAAGGATACAACCTTTTTTTCGTACAATATAATTCTGCTGAACATTTATAGAAGCCATTGTTGTACAACAAATTGTCCAAAGCTAGTGATAGACGGGACAGGATTGTTAGTAAAGTTTTAAAAAAATTGGTTTAGACAAAACTAAAAATCTCTTACTATATGAAGCTCTTGTGTATGATGCACAATAGAAAAAAAACTTTACTGTGTCCACTGAGGGCCACTCAAAGTTCAAACATTGAAATATCCAATTGGTTACTAAAATGGTTAAGATGTGATGTGCCACAATCAAAGATCACGGTGTATGATCAATCATAAGCCCTTTTGTCTGTTAGGTACTTTATTGTCCTTTATTTAAAATCAAAAGAATCATATTAATAAACTTCATGATGAGTTATATCGTTTCAAGTCTCAGAATATTCTGGAAGACCCAGCAGTAAACATGAGGTATAGTGCCTTCTTAGAAGATATAAGACCATTGTACAATCCTAATTAATTGGAGGATCTATGCAATCTATCAGTTTAACCTCCATCATATTATCGTAATTTGCTTACAGACGTTATGAATGCTATACAGGAATTATCGTTAAATACCACAGAACAATTTGATTCATATAATCGTACCGACTGCGCCATGTTTTATGTTTTATATTAAAGACTAATTAAAGATAATTAAACACTGTTTCACTTTTTATTTAAATTAATTAATAATACAATTTTACACATAACATGTGCTTCTGCTTCTCATACAACATGTAACATGTAACATGTAATGTACGTTACTCAGACACTGTAAATATTAGACAGTGATCGTTTTGGCGCTTGTATTGAATTTGTAGTGGACTGTATAAATAAGGGCAAGAAATAAATCAGTTGTGTAATAAAATTATGATAATAACATGGTCTATTATAACAACAATAATGTACTGTGTGTTGGCTCTATATTAGCACAACAATATAATAATAATAATTAACAGTCTCAATGAATGTGCTCCATAATAGCATAACAATATAATAATACAAATTAACAGTCTCAATAAATGTGCTCTATAATAGCATAACAATATAGGTAATAATAATAAACTAAATAACTCAGGACTCGTCAGCCCATTACCTTTGCAGCTACACTACACACAAATTGGTTCAACCCACGCTACCGAGCCGAGACCTGTAAGTAGAAACCTATCAATACAATAATAATAACAGGGTGGAACCGCACTCGTGCGATTGTGTGAGTGCAGCTGTGACGAACAATTCACAAGCACGACGATTGTCGGGTTCACAGTATGACACACTAGTTGCCGCCCAAGAACATACACATCAAATAACCTGTGGGTCTAGAATGGACACTGGAAATTGGCCACGAGGTCGTGTCAGCCCAACTCACAATGCTCTACAAATGGAATAAACGTTACTAACAATCAAATTAACATTATTGACGATACCACCCTTAGAGTCCACACTGCAACATATAACACTGAGCTGGACGAAGGATTAACAATCTGGCCTCGATGACAGTCGAGCACGTGAATTCAAAATACAAAATACAATAAACTTAAAACATGAAACTTGCAGTTGACGGACATCTGCCGTAAGCCGACGACAAACTATGAGAGTATAACCACAAAAACGATGAACAAATATTAAACCACAAACATTACTTATACATTGTTGTGTACCACAATTACACTTCAAAATACAACTTTTAACATAAAGACGGTGCCACTGACTACATGATTTGCACTTTCACATAAAATACAAGGTAATAATATCAACTTTATAATACACACAAAACAAAAATTTGAAACACACCAGCTATCACACATTTATAACGGCGGTACAGGACGGCCGACACACAGCTGTGTTGATAACAGTGCCGTCGTGTGTCCATAACCTATGCCGACTACCGCTATCACATTAAACATTCACAATCTTAATTTCGTTGGCGGGACATTTAAGCTTGGGCTGGCGCCAACATGTAACATGGCACTTAATAATGATATTATTATATAATATAATGAACGATAACTATTGATAACAAAACCATGTTGTTATCGTACAACACTTCTTACAGTTGGTTTACTCCACGGACTAAGTTATAATGAACTGATATAATATGTGGCCTCGAAAGTATGTACAAGAGGCGAATGCGGGGAGTCGCAATCATAATTGCAGAGAGTTTACAGCGCCATCTGTATAAAACACGGACTGAGATACAAAATGTGACGCTAAATAAAACCACTGGTAGCGCTGAAAACATTCAATAATGAGTATTGATGATAACAGAGGAACCTTTTGCGGGCATAGATATTATAAGACTGGATAGGACATCGGGCTTATCAACTGAGAATAAAGTGACAACATTTTTGAGATTATAAGAGTTCCTTAATTATTGATACATATTGATTTAAAAAAATAAAAACAAATAATACAATTATGAATATGATCCAGAAATTCGTTAGATTAGAGCGCTGACAAATTTATAGTGAACGGTTACTAACAAAAATTAACCTGTGGTAGGGTTTATATTCGTTGATATTCGGTTGATAATAATAGCCAACTCCCACCTATAAAAAAATAATTTTTTTATCAAATATTTATTCTTATCAACTGCTGAATAATTATTAAAATAATAAAATAATTTATTTTAAAGAACTTTGATTTTTTTTTTCACAATCAAAAATGGGTACCTAGACTTAGTGATTTACATAGAAGTAACTGCTGAATAATTATTAAAATAATAAAATAATTTATTTTAAAGAACTTTGATTTTTTTTTATTATTTTCACAATCAAAAATGGGTAGACTTAGTGATTTACATACAAGTATAATTTTAAATGAATATTTTCTCAAGAAAAATAAATCAATTGACTATGTTGTACCTGTGTTTGCCTTACAAGATGAAATAAATGGTAAATTGTTTAAATATAAAAATAAATAATAAATATTAAATATTAATTATAAATATAATATTAATATTAAGAAATAGGTACTTATTCATTTATTAGATTTCCTCCTAAGACCACTCTTGAAATCCAAACTCTCACTCTCCAATAAACTTACCATGTACAAGTCAATAATTTGACTGATTTGGACATAGGTACGTTATTCAGTTATGGGATTCTGCAAACCCATCCAATACCAAAATACTTCAAGCGTTTCAATCCATCTGCTTATGACTAGTAATGTCTTCTCCTTAATCAAACAACTATCCTCCATCTCACTTCCTGGTAATGTACGTAAAAGAATCAAAAGACAGTGGGCCTAGAGATCTACTAAAATAAAAAATGAATAAAACAATAGGTATAATACTAAAAAGTATCTGGTCGGGTGGCAATGCAAGTACTCACCTGCCCATAAACGCTACTTCCTGAAAAACTCGTAGCCAGGGATTTCAAAAGTGGTTATTATTGAAAATGAATTGACAAAATTATACACATACAATTAATAACTTTATGTATACTTTATACAATCGTATGTTCGTACAAACACATAACAAATGAATAGTGAATAGATTGATCAATGATTTATGAGAAAATATGATGAATCTTTACTGTTATAAGACATAAGTATAACATGGTCAAGTTGTGGGGGGTGGGGGGGTTCTACACCTGTAACACCCCTCTGGCTGCTTAAAGGAGCCTCCTGTTAATAACCATGTATCAAATTTACTCATTATACTAATTATATTGTATAGATGGTAAATAAAATGTTTAATAAAAAAAAAATTATTTACTTATTAATAACTTGATATTTTTTTAGTTTGCTTTTATTACATTATTGACATCGTAAAACAATATTATATTGCAGTGGCTTCCTTTCCAATCCTAACGATTTCAATATTTCTCCATCTCATATCTCAAGTGTAAACAATGTATCACCGTCACGTTTACCCATTTGTTCAATTATGGCTTGGGAGTTTGAACACCACTTTCTCAGTGGCATTTTTGCAGAATCAAGGATAGAGTTTACCTCTTTCTGAATTCTACAACACTCCTCCACACTGTCCACGCCTGTCATTAAATCGTCCATATAAAAGTCACGAAGAATAGAGTTTGACGCTTCGGGGTACTGTTCCTTCACTTCATCTGCCAAAGCAACTAAGCATTGTGTAGCCAAAAACGACGCTGGTGTCGTTCCATAAGTCACAGTTGTCAATTGATAAGTACGTAGCTACTCTTTTGGATTTTGTCTCCACAAAATCCGTTGCAGGTTCCAATCATCCTCTGAACCGCGTACTTGACAAAACATTTTTTCGACGTCGGATATTACGGCGTATTGTTTTTTCCTAAAACGCGTAAGTATTCCGAATACGTCCTCTTGCACGGTAGGACCACATTTCAACATATTGTTGAGCGATAGCCCTGACGAGCTTGTGGCTGACGCATCAAACACAACTCGGAGCTTGGTTGTCAGACTTGAGCCTTTAAGGACCGCATGATGTGGTAGGTAAAAGGATGGTTTTGCTATCACTAGTTCATTAACGACTTCTACTATATGCCCTATTTCAATATATTCATTGATGAACTTTGTGTATTCCGTTCTAAGCTTCTCATCGTGCTGTAATTTGCGTTCCACACTGATAAATCGGGATGTGGAAATAGCCAACGTAGAACCCAACTCATTCACCGTGTCTTTCTTTAGCAGACGTACTACGAACCGTCCCTCTTCATCTCTGTATGTAGTTTGATTAAAATGTTCAACTGTTTCTGCCTTTTCCAAACATCTCTGGTTTGTCTTCGATAGCCGTCCGAAACTGGAGGTCTCACCGGCACAAATTGCTTTCCAATCTTCCTCTAAAGATTCGCCCACTGAATGAATTCCAACAAAGGTCACTACTCCTAATTCACCGGTCACTATCCACCCAAGATTGCTGCAGTTCAAAACTACATTCTTGACGTTTAATGGTATCCGAGGTACAGTAGTTGAGAAAACATCAAAAAATACATCGCCACCTATTAATAAATCAGCTGTCCCTGGATTTTGAAAGGTAGGATCTGCTAGTTGTGACATCAAATCATCTGGAATTTGCCAACCATCTTTTGGCGTTTCACATGATGGTAAATTATTTACAATTTTTGGCAGCACGTAACATACCAATTCAACACAGTAATCACTCAGTCTTGATTGAACTGAGACTTCAACATAGGATACAGCTCTCACTTGGCTCGCCCCAATACCATCGACCGGTAAGTTTGTTTTTTTACAATCTAGTTGCAGTGACTTGGCGAGGTTCCCCGATATAAAATTCACCTGTGAACCGCTATCAAGTAGAGATCTACACCTACGCTGATTGCTTCGCCTGTCAGCAACAAGGACAACTGCAGTTGCTAAAAACGTGTAGTTTTGCTCTAGCCCACTAAGCGCGGATGCAGCCGCTGAAACGCTTGGAGTATTTGTTGTCGTCCGTTCCCCTTCAGTGCTTTGTTCAGGCTCTACAACCTTGTCAAATTGCAACAGTGTGTTGTGCCTTCGTCTGCATATACGACCACCATACATAGATTTACATACAGTTGCCATGTGCGTTGGAGCAAAACAGTTAAAGCATAATCTTGAGCCTCGCACCACTGTAACACGTTCTCCTATTGATAAATTTTTAAACTTACTGCATGTGTATAACTTATGTGGTTCAGAGCAGCAGCTGTATTTAATATCATTGGTAATAGAGACTATAAGTCCCTTTCTTGTCGCTGGATGATTAGACGTCTTCTTCGAATTTGCATCATTCTTCGGATATATTGATCCTTTTCTTGTTGCACTAGCATCTAATGTTTCGGAGCTCTCAAATGCAATACAGCGACTTGAAATAAATTCTTCAAGCTCGATAAATGTTGGTAAATCTATGTTAAACTCGCCGCAACGGTATGTCAGTCTAGGTTTAAGACATATTATATACATTTCTATGGTAAAAAAAAAAAATTGAACTATAATAGATACCTATAATAAATTCCAAATTAATCATATCACAATATCCATTAGGTACTTATAACCCGTTATACATCAATAACAAACCGTGATACTATCATAGATGTATAGTAGTATACTTTAGAAGTTTCAAGTACCCAATAATGATATTATACAATCACAACAAAATAACTAAAATAGTTATTCTAGGTTTTTTATTATGTAATTTCATCCAAATTTGAACTCAAAATGACTATATTAACAAACGATATGTGTTGAGGATGACAGAGCGTCAGGAGGGTCGCATGTAAGCTCCTCCAGATGGTGGGTCGGTCTTGCCGGCAACAGCGATCCTCTCCTGCCATCCGAGGTGCGGAAAGACCGAGTGTGCGTCACTGTTGAGTACGAGTAGTAGCGAGAGTCGTGACGAAACGTGAGGACTTATTTTTACATGCTTTTCTTTAACTCACAATGTTTCATTCCTGTTGTCTTCAAATCTTGCGCGCTCGATTTGAGGCACTTATTTACGATGAAAAATTCTGAAAATTGGTATAGACATAGGTCTTGGAAGGCATTACAATAATCCGTTGTTATTTTGGGACCCGGACTTCTAGGTCGGCGATGACGGGTGTGCAAAGTCATCTCCGAGGAAGAAGAATAAATAATATACAGGTACGAAATTTTGTTTATAAACGGTTTCCATGGGTTATAAAACTATTATAATAATAATTACTTTTAACTTTTAACCCGTTTCATTGTTAAAACAGTAATAAAATCCTACATAGAGATTGACAGAGCGTATAGAAAATAAAATACTAAACAAATAAAAATGTATAAAGAGCCCGCAACTCAACGAAAAAGGCGCCTTGAACGAGCTCGTATAAAGTATCAAGAAACGAAGGCCAACGAGGGCTCAGAAGCTAAACGGGCAAGATTAGATAAAAATCGCCAAGCCAAAAAAAAATTAAGAGCTGAAGAAACGCCATCAATGAAAAATAAACGCCTTCTACAACAACCGCGAAAACAGGATTAAACAACGGGACAAAGAAACTCCAGAAAGCGGAGAAGCCCGGAGGCAGGCTGAACATGAACGATATTTACAACGCGCCGCTGCAGAAAATCCAGAAAGCAGAGAATCCCGGAAGCAAGCGGACCATGAACGGTATCTACAACGTTGTGCAGCTCAGACTACCCAAGATCGAGAAGCCCTTCTGGAAAATATACGCAGACAGCGGCTGGAACGTTCAGCAAGCGAAATAGAGTTTGAAAAATCAATTAACACATTTTGTGATCAATTTTGTGAAGTTTGTACAAAACGATGCTACCCTAACCAGGTTTCAATATTAAAATGTTCTAATTATAAACCTAATTATTTGCCAATTGAATTACTCCAAAAAAAACAACTATTACTTTGTCATCGCTGCAAAACTCATCTGTCTAGTCGAAAAACTACTGCACCTCCAAAAGCATTTTGGAATAAACTTGATCCTGGCGTTATACCAAATGAAATACACCTTCTTTCACAGGCAGAAAAACGATTACTGTCTAGAATAATACCATTTGTAAAAATTATTAAGTATGATGGCTTATATGGACAGTGGGGTTTCAAAGGCCAGGCAGTTCTTTTTGCACTAGACATTTTTGAATTCAGTGAAAAATTACCGGAAATGCTGCCAAGGTCAACCCATGAAGCGGGTATTGTCGTAGTTACTGAACGTCTGGAAAATCTAAACATTACTAGACAATGGTCAATAAATCGCGACAAAGTGTTTAAAGCTTTAGATTGGCTAATAAAAAATAATCCACTATACAAGGACGTTCAAGTTAATCCCAATGTAGAGCTTAACGAGGAAGACTTGATAAGAGTAACCCAAACAACAAAAAATATAGGAGTTAATCAGCCGCAGGAAAAAGCATACAAATATATAAATGAATTATCAAGAATTTTAAGAGCATCTTGGCATCAAAATAGTTCTGAAATATTTAAATCTGACCATGCCGGGGTTCAGTGTTGTGCTATGGCGCTTTCAAATATTATTAGAGCATCCATTCTTCCTCCGAGTACATGGAACACTCTTACTTTAAATAAGAATTTAATTGAGGGTGATAAATTATATGAATTAATCAAAACCCGCACGGAAGAATCGGAGGATACTTACCCGCTGGGAGACAATGGCTTCTTGCTGATAAAAAATTTTAAAATAATTAAAAACAACTTCGGTATATTCGAGCAACTTTTTTCAATTGAATTCAATGACAATCCTCAATTTTTTGGAAATATTAATGATAATATAAGTCGACAAAGTAATGTCTCTACCCTTACTGAAGCTTTAACTGATTTATTCGAACAACACTCATTTGGAATAATAATTTGCCGTGGATATTCATGATATTCATGATATTCATGATATTTTTGCAGAGTGAAATCCTTGCAAGGCCTCAGAATTGAACAATTAGACTGTTCAAAGCTGATGGGAAGAACACCATGTAATATTGACGCCCTTGAAGAAATGGAAAGAATGCGGGAACTGAGATAATATGATATAATATTCCTTGGTTGCTTATAATATTCGAATGTACTAGATGTAAATATTCTGCTTTCAAAAAATCGTTTGTTTATAATTTATAGTTATCACTAAAAAATAGAAAATAAAATAAATAAAAAAATAATTTTTAAAAACATGCTTTTATTAATACTACTTAATAAATGAACGAAAGAGTTGAAAATAAACTTACTTTTAAAACAATTTCTTAATGAAACTTCAAGGTTAACAAGATATTATTAAAAGTGTTTATAAAATGTATTTGTTGAACAATTTTAAAAATTTATGAATTACAAAAAAAAAGAAATGCATGGGGCTCTTTTGAGTCAGGAATATCTCTTACAAAATTGTGAGTGTGATCAATACTCTTTAAAATATTTTTCATAAAGTTTATATAAAAATTCGGTTGTAGGGTGACTTTACGTGTGACTCATCATAAGTATATAAGTTATCTATTTTCATAAAAGTGTCCGATAAAAACAAAATTCAACAGTTTCAGAATATTGCTCTTAGGAAAATTACTAATGATACAACCCTTTGTTTCGAATTACACAATACATAATGACCTGTCAATTAAAATAGTGGCTCTTATGAGTCAGGAATATCTCTTACAAAATTGGAGGTGTGATCAATAATCTTTAAAATATTTATCATAAAGTTTATCTAAAGATTCAGTTGTAGAGTGCCCTTACGTAGGAGTTATCATAAGTGCCCCATGCATTTCTTTTTTTTTGTAATTCAGAAATTTTTAAAATTGTTCAACAAATACATTTTATAAACACTTTTAATAATATCTTGTTAACCTTGAAGTTTCATTAAGAAATTGTTTTAAAAGTAAGTTTATTTTCAACTCTTTCGTTCATTTATTAAGTAGTATTAATAAAAGCATGTTTTTAAAAATTAATTATGTATTTAATAATTATTATGTCGTTAAAGCGTTAATAAATGAATGAACAGTAAATTGTGTGCTTGTTAATTATTAGAGTGGCCCAATAGTTAACAATTCCTAGCCCCAAATTACCCCATTTTTTAAATTATCATGTTTGGCAGCACTGTTGTTACCGTAGATAATATATCATATAAACAACAAATACTTGTTGACTGTTGTAAATATTTAAGGTTATTATTTTTTAGTGTGATGTGTTTGATGTGAGCGTGGTTGTGAGTTAGTGTATTGACAAATGGTATTTAATCTTGATTAAATGAAATTCTATTTCCGTTGTAAAAAAACTTAAGTAGTGTTGATATTATTGTAACGTACACTGAAATCAAGAAGTAAGTTTTTGTTTATCCGTATCTAATAGCGAAGCACTGCACGAAATATGTATATATTATCATTGTATTTAGCATACTCCTTTAATTATTATTCAATGTATTTTAGGTAGTGACAGCTGTGTCCAGTCTGCTCACCGCCAAAGCCGTGAGTTATTATTTGTTATTTTATGACCACATGACCGTATCAAGCGATGATTGCTGGAGAACCCATGTTTTTTTCCACTCCCATCGCACTTATACTCTGTCCAGCGAGAGAACCTAACCTAACTTAACCCCCCCCCCTCCAGCGCTAATACATTAGGAATGATACAACAACATATACACAGATATCTATAGTAACTAGATAAGGTACTCCTATATATTTTACATTGTTATCAAGTGAAGCTCAGCTGTGGACAGCCGCCATTTTCTCGGGGGGGGGGGGGGGGGGCAATACATTTCATTCATTATTTAAAATGTATATTAATAACATCGTTTTGAATAGTAAAATAAAATAGTTACCTAATGGTTGATGATTTATATAAAATATTTTTCATATTTTAAAAACAACAGGTTTAGAAATAATAAAATATAATACAAGATAAATCATAATTAATCTTATTTACCATATAAAATACCATACAATTTCCCCCTGACCTTCATGCTTCAATGCATGGTGGGAGTTCGCTATCTAGTACTAATTAGATATCTGTGAACGTATGATATTGTTATATATTTTTATTTCATAGGAGATTATTAGCGATTTGTATTGCTAAGTACTTTTAACTGATTTTGAAATCGATTCCATGCATTGTTTTTAGTCTTCAGTGTTAAGAAGTACCGGATATATAATACTATGCAAAATACAGGGCAAATTATTCGCCCATTTGAATTCAAGTATAAGAAATTGTCATATGCAGAGGTATACGAAGTGTTCCAATCCTTACGCAAGTAAGTTGTTAGTGATTTAAACTGCTACATAAATATTATTAACACATTATTTTTTTAGAGATGAAGTTTTATGTGATATTAAACTAGTAACAGATGATGGTAGCTTTATATTTGGCCATAAAGTGGTTCTAGCATCTGCTTCTTAATATTTTCATGCAATATTCACACAATTTGCAGAAAATAATCAATATAGTGTTGTTATCGAACATTTAGATTTTACTGACTTACAGCTCTTAATAGAGTTCA